TTAATGAAATTTTAATGAAAYTGTTTCATGTATTTCTCTAAAATTAAAATAATGAAGATGATAATATCCATGATTAACACCCTCCACAATAAAAATGGTTAATCAATCTCTCATGATTACAAAAAAAAATGAACAAAATGAAAAATTATGATTGGTTGAATGAGTTTTTTACGGTTTTTACAAATTAAGTGGTTTTTATTTGAACCCAACCTTATATATATATATATATATTTATTTATTGCAGGCAAAAGAAGGTAAATAAATGAAGAAACATACAAAATCCATCCTCTGATATATCAATAAGCTGGTAATCAGTAAGGTTCACATGGGGAACCTTCCCAACCAACAAAAAGAATCAAAGACAAGAAGCTGCAAATAACCACCATTTTGCAAAGATGTAAAGAAACAGTGATTTTTTAATTAACTTGGATATCCAACCTGTTATGCGAGCCGACTAATCCCAGGATGACCACTTGTTTTGCAGATAGTCCGGAATCACTGCATTTGAACCTATGTGGCCACAAAGGGATTTTGATGTATAAAATTAACCACCATTTTGCAAAGATGTAAAAAAGCAGTGACTTTGATGACATCACATATGAACAAACCATGCCAAGTAGAATGGTTTTTTTTTTTTTTTTGCATGTATGTTTCCACTCTATTTCCAAAACCATTTTTCCTATATGGTTATTTTGTGGGCATTTTACAAGGGTGGATGGTTTGAAAGCCAGAATATGATGGTTCAAAATGTCAAATACTCCAGGATTAACTGCTAAAGATGGTTATATGAAACCTCAAGTTCATACTGCGGATTTTATTGGCTGTTATCTTCAAGGTCCCATAAGATTAGTCGAGGTGTTTGCAGTTACCAACTGTGTACCAATCAATCGAGATTCACGCACCTTCAGTGCATATGTTCAGTTTCCCATTAAGTCATCCTGAAGAAAACAAGCAGCAAACTTAGGTTGCTACCACAACAACTAATGGCATAAGTCGAAGGTCAATTGCTCGAATACTCTGTCAGTGATCTATTAGTTGTCAAATTCTGATTTTGAATGTGAAACAAACTAATTACTTGTTTAGTAACAAAATCAATATTCAATAACCATAGCAAAAGGTGCAATAATATTATGTACAAATATGTAAGGGTTATCATCATAAATAACCACACACAAATTTTTTATTTGCTTTTTATATGTTTGACAAATTAGCTTATAAGCTAACTGATAGTTGATAAGCTAGATGGTAGCTGATAAACGATGACTGATAAGGCAGCTGTTAGCTAATAAGCCAGCTGATGAACATGTAAATGACCATAAATGACATCTTGAAAAATTAATCAATTACAATATTTTATTGGAAAATTAATTAACATAGTCATTTGCAAGTTTTGGTTTCATTTTTTAGCTATTTCTCTCTCAATATTTCAAATGTCACTACCTCCACAAGTGGCAAGTCCTCAACTTGCGGAGAGGTCAAAGCGTAAAAAAAGAAGTTTTTGAACAAGGTTCATAAGTACATGGACCAAATCTGTAACTTAGTCCTAAAACTTATAATTAAAACAAATATTTAATAATATAATATAAACAATATAGTAAGAAAAAATAAAATAATATATTAATTAAAATAATTTTAACTTCCAAACCGAACAAAATGGACAAAATTCACAGAAAATGAGAGATAAAAAAAGGGAAGGTTCTGCTGAGACTCAAGTTTCTTTCTCGGAGCTCCCGAATTGATTATTATATATATTATAAATTTTGCATTAGTTAAAAAAATTTTAGAAAAAAAAAATCTACATTAATTTATGATTTTAAATAACCATTACATATAATCTATATATATATTAAAGAAGAAACCAAAGGTAATGAGATGGCACCTTCTAATGCTTAGAATCCCTCCTATCTTTTTTCTCATTTTTTTGATTTTTTTAAATGTTGAATATATTAAAGACTTTTTTGCCCCTTGATGAAAAATGTATAGCTCATAATTAACCCGGGTTATTTTTGTAATTTTGTATACCCAAGTTTAACCTCCAACT